TATCCGGAGGGTACCGGGTTGGGGAAGACTGTGTCCCAGTGTCTGTCTTTGGCCCTCAATGGCACCCAAATCTTTCTACTTGACTCCAATTCATGGGGAGTCTCTTTGGGTAAGTGCTGGGCTGATAGGCTGCAGGGAGCCATTTTGTCTGTCTCCTTTCCTGTCCAGGTTCTCTGGAATGGTCGCTCCCACCTGGAGGTCAGTGTTCCTGGCACTTACAAAGGCCAGACGTGTGGGCTCTGTGGCAACTTCAACAACTACCCCCAAGATGACCTGCGGCTCCGATCCGGCCACCTGACCCTGTCGGAGGCGACTTTTGGCAACAGCTGGAAGGTAACAGCCGTGGTGATGGAAGGCAAAGGGAGTCACACTCTGAGACACAATTCACATCTTCTAGGAACAGAACTATCAAGATTCACATTGTTCACACTGACATTTTGGGGGAAAAACAAAGGTGACTCAGTACTCAAGGCCCTCCATGAAGGAAAAGTTGAACAGCCACTAGATTCCTTCTACTTCGGGACCTCATTGGGGAAATTTTGTCTGCACAAAAGTACATTATTATGTATAAATTGTTTTTCTACACAGAAAAGATCTTTGGGTCAGAAAAAATGACTGCAATCAAACATCCCTCTCAGCATAGTGTAAATATCCACATGCAGAGACAAGCCAGTATTCCACAACCTCCATGCAGAATAGTAAAATTGCACAACTCGTGTCAGTGAGTGGGTGCCGTTGCGTATTACACAGTGTACAATATACAAAGCAAAACCACAGTGCATGATACACAGTGCACAACTGAAACACACAGTGCTGAGTGCACAATCGCAACGTGCAAAGACAAGGCAGAGGTGAGCATGCTGTCTGTGCAACTCCATTTCCATTGCTATCTGCAGAATATATCTGTTGCGCAATGGTGACTTTTCAGCCTTCCATGTGTAGGTGTGTATGTCTTTAGCTGACAGCCAAAGTTTTTCCTGCACTAAGCCCCACTCCTAATATTTTTGCACAATATATTCTGATTTCTGAATAAAAATATTGCTTTTTAAAAAATCTAGGAAACATGTTTCTCCTCTGGAATTAGTGCAGTTGCAACAAGTAACACCATTTGCATTAAATTATACAAATTATGCAAAGCTGCAGTGCCAAAAACAAGCTCCCTGCACACAACAGAAAATTTGTATGCAGGAATTGGTGTATAATGCATAAAAACTTGTGCTTTCTTTGCAAAACAACAAGCACCAGCATCCCATGTATAGTGGACCCTTGGTATCTGCTGGGGTTTGGTTCCAGGACCCCCTGTGGATACTAAAATCCATGGATGGTCAAGTCCCATTAAATACAACGGCATAGTAAAATAGCATCCTTTATATAAAATGGCAAAATCAAAGTTTGCTTTTTGGAATTTATATATTTTAAAAATATTTTTAAGCCATGGATGGTTGAATCCGTGGATAAGGGATCCATGGATATGGAAGACCATCTTATATTTCTGTGCAGGCTGTTCTTTGTGAATGGTGTCACAGACTACAAAAAGTACTTGAAAATTGTATGGACACCTTATTCTTGTGAAGTGCAGAGAAAACAGCGGAAAGGAATCCTTTTTCCATGCAGGAATAAAATAAGCAAAGATTTGCATGCCTGTGAAGAAGAGATCTTACATGGAGAAGTCATTCCCGTGTATCTGTGTGGGTCTGTGTACATCTGTGTGTTAATATGTGTGTTTGTAGGTTAATATGGGTGTCTACAAATGGGACTTGTCTTTCTTTGCCCATAGGTGGTTGCCGCCAATGGCACGGACCAAGGCAGCAGCTGCGCTGATGGGACAGATGTAGATCCTTGCAAGGAGTCGGGCTACCGTTCCCGCAAAGAGGCCAATGCCCGCTGCAAAGTGCTCAAGGGTCCGCCATTCGAACGCTGCCATACCGCCGTCCCTCCGGAGCCTTTCTTCGCCTCCTGCGTCTATGACCTCTGCGCATGCGGAGCAGCCGGGATCGACGACTGCCTCTGTGAGGCCTTGGAGGCCTATGCCGCCGAATGCCGCCATGCCGGGCTGGTGCTCCAGTGGCGTTCACCCACACTTTGCGGTGAGGCTCCGGGCAGCATCCACAGAGACATGCCATCAGCTGTCAAGCAGCTTGTTTGGGTTACCTTTCCCTTTCTCACTGGGGTGTTTTTACTAGCCCTTTCTCTCCCACCAAGGGTGGGGGACTTCTTTCAGTCATTTGACTTATTAATTGATTGATTGATTGATTAATTGGTATGACTTGATTGATTTCCTGCCATTCTGCCAGCATACAGCCATTTAGAAACACCATTGATTGTTTTGTCATTGTGTGCCTTCAAGTCGTTCCCGACTTAGGGTGACCCTATCATAGGGTTTTCTAGGCAAGTTTCTTCAGAAGGGGTTTGCCATTGCCATCCTCTGAAGCTGAGAGAGTATGACTTACCCAGAGCCACTCAGTGGGTTTTATGGCTCAGCAAGGATTTGAACCCTGGTCTCCAGAGTCATAGTCCAATGCTCAAACCACTACACCATGCTGGCTCAAACACCATACAACTATTTTTAAATATATATATATTACAGATTGAGTTTCCCTTATCTGAAATGCTTGTACAGAGAGGCTCACCACAGGTCCTGGGGGCAAAAGTTTTGCTTCTGGGCCCATCAGAACCGCACAGGCTGGGTCTTCCATTACGTAAGAGGTGACATGATAGCCTTGTTTAAATATTTGAAGGAATGTCATGTTGAGGCTGGAGCAAGCTTGTTCTCTGCTGCTCCAGAGAATGGGACCCGGAACAATGGATGCAAACTGGAGGAAATATTAGGAAGAACTTCCTGACAGTCGGCAGTGGAAGATGCTGCCTCAGAGAGTGGTGGAGTCTCCTTTTTGGAGGAGAAGTGAAGGTTAAGAGGGGATACAATAGTCCTGTTTAAATATTTGAAAGGATGTCATATTGAGGAGGGAGCAAGCTTGTTTTCTGCTGCTCTAGAGGATAGGACCCAAAACAATGGATTGAAGCTCCAGGAAAAGAGATTCCAGCTCAACATTAGGAGGAACTTCCTGACAGTAAGGGCGGTTCGACAGTGGCACACACTCCTTCCTCGGAGAGTAGTGGAGTCTCCTTCCTTGGAGGTCTTTAAGCAGAGGCTGGATGGCCATCTGTTGGGGATGCTTTGATTGGGAGTTCCTGCATGGCACGGGTTGGACTGGATAGTCCTTGTGGTCTCTTCTATGATTCTATGAGGCTTTTAAACCGAGGCTGGATGGCCATTTGTCAGGGATGCTTTGATGGTGTCTTCCTGCATGGCAAATTGGAGTTGGACTGGATAGCCCTTGAGGTCTCTTCCAACTCTTTCATTCTGTGCCTTGTGTCTTTTTTTTTGTCTCCTCTCAGCGGTGGGCTGTCCCCAGGACCGAGGATACGTATTTGACGAATGTGGACCCCCCTGTCCCAAGACCTGCTTCAACCACGCCGTGCCGCTGGGCGTCCTGGAGTCGCACTGCTTCAAGCCCTGTGTGCCCGGGTGCCAGTGTCCGGCCGGACTGGTGGAACACGAGGCTCACTGCATCCTGCCCGACGCCTGTCCTCGCATCATCTACGGCACGCTCTGAGTCAACCCTGAAAGAGACCGTCTCCGGGGTCCCCTCTTCCCATTGCATATCACCCCAAGCTCCTCCTCTGGAAGGCTGAGACTTTAGGGGTCAGGGGTCTTTTCCAGACATTAAGGAAGATTATTACTTTTTTACGGTCCAAGTGAAAGAGAAGCACCCTGGCACACGTTCCCTCTGAAAGGAAATCGGTGATATGTCGATGCAAAGGCAAAACCAGCCCCTTGGTTCAGCATTCAGTGAGGGGAAAGAGATGGTCCTTAGTCCTCGTGACCAAAAGGAAGAGTTGGAAATGGTTTCCCAAAATGCCAACAAAGGGGTTATTCAGACATTGGGGGGGGGGGGGGGGGGGGGGGATGCAATTATGGTCCAAAACACACTGCAGAAATAATCCAATTTGAGACTGCTTTCAACAACCTGGCTCAATGCTAGGGAATTCTGGGAACAACAACAACAACAATAATAATAAAATTTTATTTATACCCTGCCCCTCTGTGCACAATCGGGGCGGCTAACAACAATTAAAAATACATAGAGTACAAATCCAAAAAAATAAATACCCACCCACCCCTTAAAAAAGTATTAACTCAGACACGGATTAAAACATCTTTGGCTAAAACATAAAAGAAAAGAAAACCATAAACAACAAAATCTAACAACAAACTGAGTAGAGTGGCGGCAATCAAATTGGGAGAGGGCAAAATAAGGAGGTTCCTGAGGCCGGGAAGTCTATTCCGGAAAGACTTTATACTTTTGTGAGACATTTAGCCTTGTCCGTCAGAGAGAGCCACCACAAACTACAATTCCAAGGGTTCCCTAAAAATGAGTTATGGCAGTTAAAGTGGTCTCAAATTAGATTATTTCTGCAGTGTGTTTTGGACCTATGTGAATAATCTCAGTCACTCATTCTGGTTTTGTTGTTCACACTATTTTTTTTTAAAATCAGAACCACATCTCTGTGCATCTCTGTTGCTCACACGTGTCCGCACTGCAAATAAAGATGGTGCCGATGACGCAGATGTATTTGAAAGACATTCAGTGTTTATCCCAGGTCTATTTGCATTATTCACACAACTGGCAATGCAAAACTTTTAGGAAAACTTGGAGAAAAGCCCAAGATCGATTATCCCAGGTTAAGTGGGCTTTTTGTCAGACCCCCTCCCAAAAAAAAACAACAACAACAACACATATTTGGATGTATTCGAAATGCCTGTGAAAAACAAAGATTCAACCCACATTCTACAAGGATTATTTTCACTGTCTGAATATCCCCAAGGAAGAAGTATGTGCTCCGGAAGAAGGTGAAAGTCTGAGTTGTGAAACATAAATAAATTATGCAAAAATGGGTAAACGTATGAGTTGCATCAACTAATCTGAGGTCAGAAGCTGTTGGTTTCTTGCTTTATTGTAGGAGCCAAGAATATGGCCATGTATCTTCCTCCAGCTCCCCATTCCAGTGAAAACCATCAAGCTACCAACATACCGCTCTATATGCCTTTGCAGACTGCCAGAAATAGTGCAAACTGAGTCCACTTTAACTGCCCTGGCTCACTGCTAGGGAATCATGGGAATTATAGTTTGTTTCTTTTCTGGGACATTGAGCCTTCTCTGTCAGAGAGCTCTGGTGCCACAATAAACTACAGTTCCCACGATTCCCTAGCACTGAGTCAGGGCAGTTAAAGTGGACTCAGTTTGCACTATTTCTGGCAGTCTGCAAGTCTTCTTTGCCCCTTAGATTTTGTTGCCCAGTATTTTTATTTGTTTCATTACAGTTACATTTTATTTATACAGTTACAATACTTAACTACATATTGACATGCATCTCCTTATTTACAATTCAGTTTTCCTTGCTTCTTTTTCCCTCTTGTTCTTCCTTCTCCATGCTGCTTCTTTCTTCACTGTTCCACCATTCATTTTCCTTTTAATTAGAAAACATTTTTTTCTTTTTCTTCCCCCTTTTCTTCTTATACCTTACTTATATCTTATTTCTACCCTCCTTCCTCTTTCTTTCTTTATTCCTAACCTCTTCCTTATCTTTATTACTCAATTTCATACCCTTATTCTATCTCTTTACTTCCCATTAATTTTTGTTTTCTGTTTTTCCTATTCTTTCTGTTTCTGTACACCCTTTATATCACCTTCCCCTATTTTCCATACCCTTTCTTATACTTCCCTATCTTATTCTAGTCTCCTTGTATCTACTTTTTATTCCAGTCTTTGCCCTTCTCTTATACTTGCCTAACTTTCCTATCCTTTCCTCACCTTCTTCCACTTCTTTATCATATTTCTGGAATTTCTTGACTCTTTTTTCCCCTGTATCTGTCTGCTTACTAAATCCTTTCCAAACCTGGGCCCAGTGCTATTCAACATCTTTATCAATGACTTGGATGAAGGAATAGGGGGCATGCTTCTCAAATTTGCAGGTGACACCAAATTAGGAGGAATAGCTAATACCCCAGAAGACAGGATGAACATTCAAAATGACCTGAATAGACTAGAAAGCTGGACCATAGGTAACAAAAGAAATTTCAACACAGAGAAATGTAAGGGACTGCACTTAGGGCAAAAAATATGAAATGCATAGATATAAGATGGGGGACACCTGGTTTAAGGCGACTTATATGTGTGAAAGGGATCTAGGAGTCCTAGTAGACCACAATTTGAACATGAGTCAATAGTGTGATGCTGCAGCTAAAAAGGCCAATGCGATTCTAGGCTGCATCAATAGAGGTATAGTGTCTAGATCAAGGGAATTAATAGTGCCACTCTATTCTGCTTTGGTCAGGCCTCACCTGGAATAATATTCTGTCCAGTTCTGATACTACAATTCAAAAAGGATGTTGAAAAACTGGAGCGTGTCCAAAGGAGGGCAACTAAAATGGTGAAGGGTCTGGAAACCACCAAGTTCTTTGAGAAGTGACTTAGGGAGCTGGGTCTGTTTAGCCTGGAGAAGAGAGTTAAGAGGAGA